GTCGACTCAAAGTTAGTGTGGAGACAGTTTTGAGTCGACTCAAAGTTAGTGTGGAGACAGTTTTGAGTCGACTCAAAGTTAGTGTGGAGACAGTTTTGAGTCGACTCAAAGTTAGTGTGGAGACAGTTTTGAGTCGACTCAAAGTTAGTGTGGAGACAGTTTTGAGTCGACTCAAAGTTAGTGTGGAGACAGTTTTGAGTCGACTCAAAGTTAGTGTGGAGACAGTTTTGAGTCGACTCAAAGTTAGTGTGGAGACAGTTTTGAGTCGACTCAAAGTTAGTGTGGAGACAGTTTTGAGTCGACTCAAAGTTAGTGTGGAGACAGTTTTGAGTCGACTCAAAGTTAGTGTGGAGACAGTTTTGAGTCGACTCAAAGTTAGTGTGGAGACAGTTTTGAGTCGACTCAAAGTTAGTGTGGAGACAGTTTTGAGTCGACTCAAAGTTAGTGTGGAGACAGTTTTGAGTCGACTCAAAGTTAGTGTGGAGACAGTTTTGAGTCGACTCAAAGTTAGTGTGGAGACAGTTTTGAGTCGACTCAAAGTTAGTGTGGAGACAGTTTTGAGTCGACTCAAAGTTAGTGTGGAGACAGTTTTGAGTCGACTCAAAGTTAGTGTGGAGACAGTTTTGAGTCGACTCAAAGTTAGTGTGGAGACAGTTTTGAGTCGACTCAAAGTTAGTGTGGAGACAGTTTTGAGTCGACTCAAAGTTAGTGTGGAGACAGTTTTGAGTCGACTCAAAGTTAGTGTGGAGACAGTTTTGAGTCGACTCAAAGTTAGTGTGGAGACAGTTTTGAGTCGACTCAAAGTTAGTGTGGAGACAGTTTTGAGTCGACTCAAAGTTAGTGTGGAGACAGTTTTGAGTCGACTCAAAGTTAGTGTGGAGACAGTTTTGAGTCGACTCAAAGTTAGTGTGGAGACAGCGTCATGCTGCCCCTCCAGTGCTACTCTCTCTGCTCCCCGCTCTCTGCTCCCCGCTCTCTGCTCCCCGCTCTCTGCTCCCCGCTCTCTGCTCCCCGCTCTCTGCTCCCCGCACTCTGCTCCCCTCTCTCTGCTCCCCTCTCTCTGCTCTACCAGTGGTTAGGGCCGCTCTAACAGTATGGCGGCCGTTGGGACGTCTATTGTGCCTTTTCTGCTCCCCTCTCCGCTCTATGCTCTCCTCTCTGCTCCGCTCTCCACTCCCTACTTTACTCCCCTCTCCACTTCCCCCTCTCTCTACTGCCTTTTCGATTGCTCCTCTCTCCCTTCATCAGGCGCTGGTGGAGCAATGAATTGACTTCGCCACCAATGGGATCGACACTCCTGTCACCCAGTGGATAGGGCCTCTCTATCAGTGTTGTGCCTTATGTGACGACGCCTCACATGCCCTCTCTGCTCTCCCCTCTGTTGCTTTCTCTCTATTGCTCCTCTCTCCCTTCATCAAGCGCAGGTGGAGCAATGGATTGACTTCGCCACCAATGAGGTCGACCCTCCTGTCACCCAGTGGATCGCCCCGCTCTACCAGTGTAGTATCGAGCCTTATGTGCCGCCTCACATGCCCTCTCTGCTGCCCTTTCCCCTCCCTCCTCGCTGCTTATCAGGCCCAGGTGGAGCAGTGGGTTGACCTCGCCACCAATGAGATTTGCTTACACCCCTGTCTACCGGCGGATAGAGCCGCTCTACCAATATGTGACGCCTCACATGCCCTCTTTGTTGCCCCCTCTACTTCCCTCCCTCCCCACCACACTGCCCCTTCATTAGGCTCAGGTGGAGCAATGGATTGACTTCGCCACCAATGAGGTCGACACTCCTGTTACCCAGTGGATCGGGCCTCTCTACCAGTATGGCACCAGGATTCAAGAGGTACGGGAGAGTTTACAATGTAAGATGAAGGCCATTTTATCAGTTATGTTGAAATCACTTTTGATACTTCTCAAGCGTGATTTTACCAGTATGGCAACAGGATTCAAGAGGTACGGGAGAGTTTACAGTATAAGATGAGGGCTGCTTTATCAGTTTCTGTGGATGGATGGATGGAGTGAGCATCAAGGGTCGAAGAGGGCTGCTGTGCCCGCTGTCCACCCCTTGTGAAATTGACACCCCTGTCATGCCAGTCACCCCTGTCATGCCAGTCACCCAGTGTTGAGACGTCTCAAAACCCGCGTGACAGTAATCTAGTTTTGAGACATCTCCAAATCAAGGAGGGCCGCTTTGCCCGCTGTCTATCCCTTGTGAAATTGACACTCCTGTCACCCAGTGGATAGGGCCACTCTACCAGTATGGCAACAGGATTGAGGAGGTAAGGAAGGATTGGAACAGAGATAAGCGAACCAGTATGAATACAGAATCAAGGAGTAAGGCAGGCAGGGAGGATAGTACGTAGTTTGGTAGATTACTTTTGATTTCGTGTCGCAAGAGGGTGTTGTCTCTTTTGAGACACCAAATGTGCATTTCAGATCAAGGAAGGGTAATGTTGGGATGGAAGCGATATTGGATACGCCACGACAGATGTGACTTTTGAGTCGACTCAAAAGTCATCTCGCCAACCACCCCTACCTGGTGGGCGAGCGGGTGACCACGCCTTCTGATACCTCCTTCAACCAACCCTTTGTTACGCCTTGTCCTTCCCATTCCTTCCACTCATTTTCCCCCTGTGTAAAACTACTCTTTTTGAGACGTCTCAAAAATACTCTTTTTACCACATGTACCTCACCTGGTGGGCGAGCGGGTGACCACACCTCTGATACCTCCTTCAACCAGCCCTTTGTTACCCCTTGTCCTTCCCATTCCTTCCACTCATTTTCCCCCTTGGCAGGTGGAGGAGAAGGCGATATTGAACGCCAAGCGAGGACTCGCAGCTCTGAACTCGCACCTCGCCGACCACACGTACCTCGTGGGGGAGCGGGCGGGTGTTGTGTCACCGCATGTCCTTCTGATGTACCTGGCGGCACTCAACTCGCACCTCGCGGACCACACGTACCTGGTGGGCGAGCGGGTGACGCCCTTCTGATCCCTCCAAAATTTCTTGCCCAATGCCCGCTTAACAGGTGGAGGAGAAGGCTATCGTAAACGCCAAGAGAGGCCTGGCGGCTCTGAACTCGCACCTCGCCGACCACACACCTACCTGGTGGGCGAGTGGGTGACATCATGTCATTCTGATCCCCTCCTACCATTCTTCCCTCCAACCAACCCTTGGTGCTCCCTTGCCAGGTGGAGGAGAAGGCGATTGTGAACGCCAAGAGGGGACTCGCAGCTCTGAACTCGCACCTCGCCGACCACACGTACCTGGTGGGCGAGCGGGTGACGGCCTTTTGATCCCTCCAACCAACCCTTGCTACCCGTGTGGGCCTTGGCAGGTGGAGGAAAAAGCCATTGTGAACGCCAAGAGGGGACTCGCAGCACTGAACTCGCACCTCGCCGACCACACGTACCTGGTGGGGGAGCGGGTGACGCTCGCTGACATCATCACAGTGTCGGTGCTGACGTCACCCATCCGGGGCCTGTGGAGCGAGGAGTTCATGCGGGATTACCCCCACGTGCAGCGCTATTTCTTCACGCTGGTTCACCAGAAGCAGTTCAAGGCTGTGATCGGGGACGTGGAGCAGGTGAGGGTTTAGGGGATTAGGGTAGGTAGTAGTTCCTTTGTATGGGTGGTGAGTTCATGCGGGATTACCCCCACGTGCAGCGATACTTCTTCACGCTCGTTCATCAGAAGCAGTTCAAGGCTGTGATCGGGGAGGTGGAGCAGGTGAGATGGTGGAGAAGGGGTTAACATGGTTAGCTGGCTGGGCAATTAGGTAGGTAGGTAAGTGCTAGGAGGAGGGATTACCCCCATGTGCAACGATACTTCTTCACTCTCGTGCACCAGAAGCAGTTCAAAGCAGTCATTGGGGACGTGGAGCAGGTGAGAGGAAGAGGGGGGAGGGAGGAGGTAACATGGTTAGCTGGCAGGTATGAAGAGGTATTACCCCCATGTGCAGCGCTACTTCTTCACGCTGGTTCACCAGAAGCAGTTCAAGGCTGTTATTGGGGATGTGGAGCAGGTGAGAGGGGATTGCACTCACCATCTGCAGAAAGAGGGTAGGTGGGTACATGGGTACTAGGTAGGTTGATAGGAGGGATCATTCAAATCGCCAAGGCACCCACAGAGATTGTCAAGTGGGAGGACTCGCCTCTCTTCAAGCTCATGAATCCCAAACAGGACGACAAAGCAGCACTCACCCTTCCTGCTTCCTCTTCTCCCTCTTCTCCCCCCCACCCCTCTCCTCTCTCCCTATTGCGCAGATTGCCAAGGTGCCCACGGAAATCGTCAAGTGGGAGGACTCGCCCCTCTTCAAGCTCATGACGCCCAAAGCTGGACGACAAAGCAGCACCTGCCCATCCCGCGTCTCCCTCTTTCCTTCCACCTTTCCTTCCCCCCTTCTGCCTTTCCCCCTATCGCGCAGATTGCCAAGGTGCCCACAGAGATCGTCAAGTGGGAGGACTCGCCCCTCTTCAAGCTCATGAAGCCCAAACAGGACGACAAAGCAGCAGCACCCGCAGCAGCAGCAGCAGCGGCACCAGCGGCAGCAGCGGGAGGGGGTGAAGTGGAGGAGGGGGCACCCAAGCCCAAGGCGAAGAACCCTCTAGATCTGCTGCCTCCAAGCCCCATGGTGCTGGATGCGTGGAAGCGGCTTTACTCCAACACCAAGGCAAACAACTTCAGAGAGGTGGCCATCAAAGGTAAGATGGTAGGCAGTGTGAGGCAGATTATCATTATCCCTGCCCGTGGTCTGCTGCCGCCCAGCCCCATGGTGCTGGATGCGTGGAAGCGGCTTTACTCCAACACCAAGGCAAACAACTTCAGAGAGGTGGCGATCAAAGGTGAGACGTGAGGCAGTTTGAGGCAGCACAGGCAGTGCGTGAGGAGGAGGAGAGGCCGCCAAAGCTCAAGGCCAAGAACCCTCTTGACCTGCTTCCTCCCAGCCCCATGGTGCTGGATGCGTGGAAGCGACTCTACTCCAACACCAAGGCTAATAACCTTAGAGAGGTGGCCATTAAAGGTGAGAGAGATACAAGACTGAGTGGTGAGTAGGGTCAAGGCAGAAGAAGGCAGAAGAACCCTCTTGACCTGCTGCCGCCCAGCCCCATGGTGCTGGATGCGTGGAAGCGACTTAGCTCCAACACCAAGGCGAACAATTTTAGAGAAGTGGCGATCAAGGGTGAGAGTCCTAGAGCAAGCGAGGGTGAGAGGTGAGGCGGCATGAGCAAACAGGCGAAGAACCCTCTTGACCTTCTGCCTGCCAGCCCCATGGTGCTGGATGCGTGGAAGCGACTCTAGTCCAACACCAAGGCCAATAATTTCAGAGAGGTGGCAATCAAAGGTGAGACGTGAGGGGGGTGAGGCCGAGGAGGGGGCGCCCAAGCCCACGGCAAAGAACCCTCTAGATCTGCTTCCGCCAAGCCCCATGGTGCTGGATGCGTGGAAGCGACTCTACTCCAACACCAAGGCTAATAACTTTAGAGAAGTGGCAATCAAAGGTGAGATGTGAGGCAGTTTGAGGCAGCACGGGCAATGCATGTGAAGGGGAGGAGGGGGCACCCAAGCCCAAGGCGAAGAACCCTCTTGACCTGCTTCCGCCCAGCCCCATGGTGCTGGATGCATGGAAGCGGCTTTACTCCAACACCAAGGCCAATAATTTCAGAGAGGTGGCCATCAAAGGTGAGACATAAGACTGAGTGGTGAGTAGGGTCAAGGCAGAAGAGTCCTCTTGGACCTGCTTCCTTTCCTCCCAGTCCCATGGTGCTGGATGCATGGAAGCGACTTCTATTCCAATGCCAAGGCCCTGGTTGATAGGGGTCGCGGTGTGGTTTGAAGAACCTTCTATTGGTGCTAGATGAGTGGAAGCGACGATAACACAGTCAAGTTCGTGATGCTTAACAAAGTGTCGGGGTTCCTTCAGCGCATGGACCTCGCCCGCAAGTACGCGTTTGCCGAGAATCTGGGGGCCACTCACTCTCATTCTGCCATTACAAGTTCAGTTTCCTCACATTCCTTGCTCCCACTTGTTCCTTCCCCCCCACACACACCAGGCTTCTGGGAGATGTTCGATCCCGAGGGCTACTCCCTCTGGTTCTGCGACTTCAAGTTTAACGACGAGAGCACAGTCAATTCGTGACTCTCAACATCTCATTGTATCCATCCGTACCGCACTCTATGACCCTTTTACTCCAGGCTTCTGGGAAATGTTCGACGCGGAAGGCTACTCCCTCTGGTTCTGCGACTACAAGTTTAACGACGAGAACACGGTCAAGTTCGTGACACTTAACAAAGTGTCAGGGTTCCTACAGCGCATGGACCTCGCGCGCAAGTACGCGTTTGCCAAGATGTGCATCCTGGGGCCGGACGAGGGCCCGTTTGTGATCAAGGGCGTGTGGCTGTTCCGCGGGAGCGAGGTGCCACCGTTTGTGATGGAGGAGTGCTATGACTGCGAGTTGTACGAGTGGAGCAAGGTGAGAATGAGAGGAAGAGAGTGGCAGGGCGATCAAATTAGGGTATGTAGGAGTGAGGTGCCGCCGTTTGTGATGGAGGAGTGCTATGACTGCGAGCTGTACGAGTGGAGCAAGATGAGGCTTTAACGCCCTTATTAGGGGCCCAGATTTTAAGGTGTGTGCCGCAGTTTGTCATGGACGGGTGCTACGACTGCAAGCTGTACGAGTGGAGCAAGGAGACCCCCCTTCCCCTCCCGTTTACTCTCATTCCTCTTCCTAACATAAGCTCTTTCACAAGAGGCAAGAAACCCCTTACTTCATGCATCCTTCACTGCCCTCCTGCACTCTCCTCCGCTCTGGTCTGCTCTGCTTCACTCATGCCTGCTGTATCGCACGACACTTCACCTGTGCACGTTGCTTGCCAGGTGGACCTGAGTGACGAGGCGCAGAAGGAGCGTGTGAACGCCTACTTTGAGGAGCCCGATGAGGTCGATGGGCTTAAGCTGCAGGAGGCCAAGTGCTTCAAGTAAAGCTCCAAGCAAAGCTGCAAGTACAGATTCTTGCTTCATGGCAATGTTACAGTTGTTGCTCGCGTCATCTAGAGTGCCGTGCAGTAGGAATGTTGTAGTGACTGTCATTTCCAGTAAGAGCAAGTCATATTAGGTACCACAAGCTTTTCTTTCAGATGGTGTGGTGAAGATGGTACATCTTTAGAACATACTAACAGAGGTAGGAACTAGCGTACACTAATACTGTTGTGGTACCTATTTCTACCATGGCCAACTAGTGAAATATAACGATTCACGACAATCAACACCACCTCACGGTGACAAGATTATTTGAAGACATCACATCTCCCTAGCTTTGTCCCATCTAAAGGAAGGGTTTGTAGCTATAGTTCGCATGTAAACAACCAATCTCAATTACTACCCGCGAAGTGACCGTGATTCATTGCACAGCATACAACCATGCCGTGATCTCAGAAAGCACAGCAGCTCGAATTGGTTGGCATTTTTCAAACGACTTGGAGGCGAACACCAGCACTCGGCCTCAACCTAGTCGTAGCTTGAATTAAGGAAGCGCAGAAGCTCAGATCGATTGGCTTCAGCTACCTTGTCGTCCTTGGTCTTGTCCACCTTCATGCGAATCTGAACGAAGAAACCAAAGGGTGTTTAACAAGCTGAGATCAGAAGCTCGTAATCATGGAATTGAGGCTGTGAAGGAAGAAGCCAACAAAGGCCTCCACTGGCTGACTTTGTTTAATGATTTCAGAACTTTATTCGCTCGGCTCCAGATTCCTCGCCTCTGTGCATGGCTCTGATGTGACCCATTTTCTGACGTACCTTCTTGCCTGATATGACACTGAAGCGTGTGGAGCCATCCTCGCGACCAAGAAACTGGGCAAGATCAGCAAAAAGGAAGTGGAAGGAAAGGAACAGTGCAAAATGAGGAGTGCTTGACCTGTAATCTCTTGGAGAAGATGTCAAAAACACCTTTAGGATAGGGAAATTATAACAATGGGGACAGGGAAAAAAAATCAAGATCCAAAAGCAGGTTGAATTATGTATTGCTTAAATTATAGGAGCTCCCAATCCGGCAAATGATAATTTTAAGAGGAACTGACCTGTGAGAGCTGCACTGGGCCTGGTGTTGCTTCACCAGAGGATTTGGATCCTTTCTGAATGATGAGAAGAAGATAACAACGATTTAATGCATCGACGAACCAATAACAACACAGGCAAATACGCATTCAAATAAAGATGGTAATGGCATCGAACCGGAGGTTTCAAATAAAAGCATATCCGCAGTGATGAAGAAGGTCGATAAACCGGGTAGAGACTCCAGCGAGAATTAGCAGGATTGTGTTGACGAATTTCGAGGCCGAAAGGTGTGTCGACGTAAGGAGTTGCACTCAAGGAGTAGACAGGATGACGGCACGTGACACGGTCCATGTGACCCGGCGCCACAATGGGAGCTCCAGTAAGGAGAGATTCGGAGATGATATAAATAAGATCACGGGATGTGACAGGCATGAATGCACATCCAACACCCCTCACATTCGGACGTGCGAAGAAACACATGCAAGCACACATGCACACACACGGACAGGAGAACGGTCAGCATACAGGCAGACGGGAAAGAAACAGGGATAAAATTAGCAAGTTGACACAACCTTTAGCAGCATCTGACAGAAGTGCTTGGAAGGCAGGCATCACTGCATGGTACATCTGCATGTCTTCTTGACACAGCTTCAACACAAGCAAGTACCTTGTCTGATGATCGCCTTTTGCTTTTGCCCTTCTTGTCCGACCGCCTGTCCCGGCTGGATCGGCGACGGTCACGACGGCTGCCACTCTTCTTCTGCTTCTCCTCGTTCATCCTTCCCGTGCACGCATACGCATCCCAGCGACCCCATCACATCCCCACCGCACCCATCCCAACCCCCGTCCAGTCCAATCACCCCGTAAGTATAAAAAGACCAGTATAAGCAGCGTTAGAATAGCAGAAGGCATGGGATACTAGAGGAAACAAGAAACAGTACAATGGAAAGGCACTGTGTAAAGTGACATGGATTCAAAACAGAAGCAAAAAAACAAGGGCAAGAAAAAAAAGTTCGTTAGAGGCCGTTAGCCCTTAACGATACACAGAGACATATGACACATGATATAAATCTAGACCTATACTGGGCGGACTAAGATATTGAGACATCCCAAGAGCAAGCAAGAATTTTTACCTTCCTGCTAGATGACTTGGACGATCTTGACTTCCGTTTACTCCTGTCGTCTTCACTAGAATCACTGTCCTCTGATCCATCGCTATCGCTGCTGCTGTTCGAACGACTCCTGAAAGTATAAAATATAGACAAAGAGTTAAAAGAGAGTGGGTGGAAACATCATGAGAGTGAGATTACGGGACACCATGGCAATAAGAAGCTTTTACAAATAAGAGGCACTCACCTATTTCGACGCTTCCCTTCTTTTTCTCGCCGTTTCTTCCTCCTGCTGATCTCGCTCTCGTCGCTGCTGTATCCACTGCTTGAAGCTTCTGATCCGCTGTCGTCGCTGCCGTCGCTGGAGTCGCTGGAGTCGCTGGATTCGCGTCGTCGTCGCTTACGACGCTTCTGCTCGCGATCCTTCCTGTCCTTCTTTTCGCTGCGAGGCTTGTCCTCCTTGCTCAAGCTCCTTCTCTTCCGGTCCCGCTTATCTTCCCGACGGTCCTCCTCTTCACTAGAGCTGGAAACCGCCATATATTATTTTTCTTCGAAACGGCCAGCAAACTATTTCCAGAAATTATGAGCACCGGAACTTCCCAGTAAGCTCGTCTGAAGGACGTCACTGAGTCTGAGTGATCACAAGATGCTGAGGCCCTCTTCAAGATAAAGGCGTCACAATTTTTCGAACACCAGACTCATGAGACTGAGAAATTTAGATGGACACTGGCGAGGACATATGATTCAAAGTACGCATATAAGTGTTGTAGTAGGAGCCTCATGAGAAACTCGGCCAGCACTCAATGGATGGTGTTCAGACGGACTCGCCTGCTAATCCGCCATACCCATCAACAATAGGTTATATTTAGGGCGTGCTCTAAAATCCTCAATTCGAGTCCTCAAGACACCTAAGATTAGGTGTCGATCTGCAATGGTGAACAAAAGCAAAGTTCGGGTTTCACGACAGTGTTGGCGTTCGGGTTCATGTCACGGAATGCGACCGTGGACACGAGCTCCTTAAAGCTCGCGTCTCAAATTTCACCCTTCCGACCAAGTGTTAAACGCTTGGGATCCGGTAACAGCTGGGTTTGTCGCAAAGCACACCAAGGCAAGGGGTGGTTTGGGAAGGTTGGTTGGGAGAGGTTTGAAACAGGGCCTCGTTCCAGGCAAAACCAACTCCAAAGGGAAACAACGTGTTGCAACGTTGGTTGGGACAGGAATACGACAACGCAGGTTGGGAAACACACCTGCACGAACCAATCTACAGGTGTACAGAAAAACGTGCGACAACAGAGGCATCGTCGCACACTTCCCCGTGCAAACCAAGCATTTACAGCTCTCAGAATTATGAGACTCAGAACTCTCAACTTTGACAAAACGGTTCGTGTAGGCACCAGTTCAAGTGTTTTACCAGCCATATGCCACGTCTTTTAGTATAGCTAGCCTTGAAAACTCAGTCGCGATCATGATGTAGGGGAAACCGTGCGCCTATAGACCTTGGCGCATTCCGTGACCCGCATTCTCTAAGCCCGAACACGGGAAAATCATCAAATTTAGCGTGTCCAATCCCCACTTTCGTCCTCTCCTCGCCAAAAACTGCCGGCGTGGGGTTCATCGCCATTCATCAACCGCCCTTATTAGGTGAAAGGGGAAGGTCGCAGTAGCATGAAGGGTGGAAAGGACGATAGGGACGAGCCAAACGCGGCAAACGCGGCAATGGGGCGATATCACCGAAGTCGCGGGACTAAGGCCCGCCGAGTGACGCGGGAAAGGTGTGTACCCTGCCGGTGAGCGCGCGCACACCTCCCTTCAAGGGGCGCGCACCCAGCTGTAAGCAGCGCGCACACCGCAAGCAGCTGAGTGCGCCCCGCTGTAGGCATCACGCGCCACCTGAGCCTCAGCGCTCGCCCCGCTATAGGCATGAGGCGCCTCTTTAGCATCAGCGCGAATGCGCCTGTAATCTCACGCGCCATTCGTCACGTAATCGCGCATGGTGCGGGTATGTCAAGCACTACATGAGAGGGGGGAGGAGGAGAGGACAGAGGGGGGGAGAAGGTGCGCTGAGAGGGGGGAGGAGGAGAGGACAGAGGGGGGGAGAAGGTGCGCTGAGAGGGGGGGAGACCCGGTGCTACCCCTCCTATCCCCCCCTGCTTCTCCTCCTTTCCCCCCGGTGCTACCCCTCCTTCCCTGCTTCCCCCCATCCCCTTCCCTGCTTCCCCCCATCCCCTCCCCTTCTTCCCCCCATCCCCTTCCCAGCTTCCCCCCATCCCCTTCCCTGCTTCCCCCCATCCCCTTTCCTGCTTCCCCCCATCCCCTGGCACTCGCACTCTCACTCTCCTTTCCTCCCGCACTCTCTCTCTCCGTCCTCTCCCACTCGCACTCTCCTTCCCCCCACCCTCTGCCCAGTTGTCACCTGCCCTCCCAATGCCTGCCTTTCCCTCCCTGCCCTGCGCTTTCCTTCCCCATCCCTTCTCAACCCTTCCCTTCCTTTTCATGCCCTCCCCTTCCCCCTCACTCCTCACCTTCCACCCTCTAGTTCCCATGCACGTGCACCCATCACTGTCTCCCCATACATTATTTCATCATGTGCGCTTGCTTGTGTTCCCTTGCAGTTGTTCCCTTGGCACCTCACACCACCTCCCCCATGTTCATTCACACAATTCTTTCTGCCTACTCCACTCCCCTAATTTTCAGTGGTGAAGCAGAAGAGCAAGCTGAGGCGCAGCTAAAGCTAGACCATGCTTTACACCGTACCACCACCTGTTTCTTGTGTGTTGTATGCAATCATGTTCTGCGGGGGGGAAGGAGGAGAGGACAGAGGGGGGAAGGAAGGGTGATATACCAGTTTGCGATAAATTCCCCTAATTTCCCCCCAATCCCCCCTCCGCTCCCTCTCATTCCCCCCTCTGCTCCCTGTCATTCCCCCCCCCCTGCTCCCTCTCATTCCCCCCTCTGCTCCCTCTCATTCCCCCCTCTGCTCCCTCTCATTCCCCCCTCTGCTCCCTATCATCCCCCCCCCCCCCCCCCTGTTCCCTCTCATTCCCCCCTCCGCTCCCTCTCATTCCCCCCTCTGCTCCCTCTCATTCCCCCCTCTGCTCCCTATCATCCCCCCCCCCCCTGTTCCCTCTCATTCCCCCCTCTGCTCCCTGTCATTCCCCCCCCCCTGTTCCCTCTCATTCCCCCCTCTGCTCCCTCTCATTCCCCCCTCTGCTCCCTCTCATTCCCCCCTCTGCTCCCTGTTATCCCCCCCTCCGCTCCCCATAAATTACAGCTCTGCTTTCCCATCAATTCCCCTACTGCACCAGGTCAATACAGAACCCCCTCTGCTATAAAATAATTTCCCCTTGTGCTCCCCATCAATTTACTCACTCCTTCCCCTCATTTCCCCCTTTCCCTCCCCTCCTTTTCAGCCTCCCTCTTCTCCAGCTGCTTCAGCCTTGACACTCAGGATTTTGTCAGAACTGGTCCGCCACGCATGAATTTTGTTAAGCTATAGCTATTAAATAGTACCGGTTTGACAAGTACCCATGACATGTATCAATGTTGGATGCTTCTTTATAAAAATCACTTCAGTGTTTAGGATACTGAACTGAGCCATTCAGTTGATCACTACAAAGAAGTGCAACAAAGGTTTCCAGACAAGTCACCTTGCCTTCCAGACACAGCAGGTGCAGCAGAGGCAGCGAGGGAGGAGGGCAGGCCATAGCTACCCTGGCGCCACCCACCCCCCACCTGCACCACATGCATCGCCTCATACCCCGCCACTGCCCACTCCCCCTGCACGCCCTGACTCGAACCAACTGCGCCCCCCACTGCCTTCTCGCCTCCACTGCCAGCATCTGCATCAGCAGGCTTTGTGTGTGGCGGCAGTGGCTGGAGGGCTGTTGCTTGTGTGCGACCAGGTGCGATGGCGGAGAGGGACGTCCACAAGCAGATGGACGAGAGGGCGTATGGCGGCGTGAAGGCGGGTGGGGGTGGTGAGGTGAGGGTGAAGGAGGGGGGAGTGGCTGGTAGCAGCGGCTGCAGATTCCACTGCACAAATGGGTTCAGAGCGGTGCAGTTGGTGTACGGCTCTCCTGAGGGAGAAGGATGGGGACAGGAGGGCAGGAAGAGGGATGGGGTAGAGTGGAGATGAGAGGGGAAAGGGGAGACAAGATGAGCACTCAGAAATAGAGCACAGAATCAAGGCAGAGGGTAATCAAGTGGAGGCGAGGAGGCGGGCAGCGAGCAGCAGCGAGTGGCCCACAAGCGCTACTGAAGCATCCACCCTGCTTCATCCCCACCTCTCACCTTCCCCACTGCCCTGGGAGCGGCTCTATAACCCCCCCCTCCCGCCCCTTCCCACTGCTCAGCACCCTGTCCTCCTTGTGTTCTGCCACTAAGCAGTGGCAGCAGGCAATCATACATCATGGTGATAATCAAGCACAAGGAATTCACCCACTCAGCTCGCACCCACACCACCATCCTTCCAAAACCCATGCCCCCTCTCCCCTCCTTGGCCTGCCCGCCGCGCATGCTCCTCCCACACTATCTGAACCGCCTTGGGGTTGGCCCCCGCTGCTTCTACCTCTGCTGGCTCTATTCCCTGGTGTGCAAGTCATCTCACTGCCTCCCACTGCTGCTTGGTCACTGCATTGTGTAATGGAGTCCCTGGGGGAGGGCAGAGGGCGGAGGGCAGAGAGCGGGGGGCGGATGGTGGATGAGAGAAGGCGGAGGGATACAAAGAGGAGGAAAGCGGCTCTGGAAGCAGATGCAGAGCCAGAGCAATTCAAGCGGGGTGCAGAGGGCACCGCAGGGTAGAGCGCATGAAGGCAAGAGGGCTAAGAAGCTGGGTGGAGAAAGAAACGAGCGAAGCACTTTCTACCGTTCTTGCATTGAACCAATCATGGCACTCACAGCCGCAAGGCACTCACAGCCGCCAGGCACGCACAGCCGCCAGCAGGCACATGCAGTCCACGTGGCCGCCATACGCCGCCACGTGCAGTGGCGTGGTGGCGTTGCGCGTGCTGCACACCCCCGCTGGCATGCCCATGCGCAACAGCGCCTGCAGCTGCAGGCACATGCATGGGAGAACGGCGGGGAGGGAGAGAAGCGGGCAGCAGGGTGAGTGCGGTCCATGCCTGCGACATTATTGAAGGTGCATGTGAGTGCAGGCACGTGGACGGGGAGGGATGAGTGCACACGCGTGATGGACGGTGGGTTCAGAGAGTGTTGAGCGGGCTGCATGGCTGTGCTGCATGGGTGAGAGCTGGTGCATGGCTGTGCTGCATGGGTGAGAGCTGGTGCATGGCTGTGCTGCATGGGTGAGAGCTGGTGCATGGCTGTGCTGCATGGGTGAGAGCTGGTGCATGGCTGTGCTGCATGGGTGAGAGCTGATGCATGGCTGTGCTGCATGGGTGAGAGCTGGTGCATGGCTGTGCTGCATGGGTGAGAGCTGGTGCATGGCTGTGCTGCATGGGTGAGAGCTGGTGCATGGCTGTGCTGCATGGGTGAGAGCTGGTGCATGGCTGTGCTGCATGGGTGAGAGCTGGTGCATGGCTGTGCTGCATGGGTGAGAGCTGGTGCATGGCTGTGCTGCATGGGTGAGAGCTGGTGCATGGCTGTGCTGCATGGGTGAGAGCTGGTGCATGGCTGTGCTGCATGGGTGAGAGCTGGTGCATGGCTGTGCTGCATGGGTGAGAGCTGGTGCATGGCTGTGCTGCATGGGTGAGAGCTGGTGCATGGCTGTGCTGCATGGGTGAGAGCTGGTGCATGGCTGTGCTGCATGGGTGAGAGCTGGTGCATGGCTGTGCTGCATGGGTGCAGGCGGGGAGGCAGGTGAGACTGACCACGGGGGAGTCACCATTCCGAGCAGCCACATGCATGGCGGTCCAGCCCCACTTGTCCACCACGCCACTCAGCCCCTCTGCTGACTCCACCCCGCATGCCCGCACCACATGCCACAGCCCCTGCCCCTCCTCCTCCCCACTACCCTCACCACTAGTACATCCCCTCCCCCATGCACTCACCTCCCTGTCAAAAGGGACGACGTCTCTCTTCCCCCTCCTCGGGCAGCACCTGCTCTCCCCCTCCATTCCCCCTCCCCATCAACCCGCGCCTTATTCCGCCCACCCCTAATCTCCTTCCGCCCATCCCTGATCTCATTCCGCGCTTCCCTAATCTCATTCCGCCCTTCCATAATCTCATTCCATCATAACTACTCGCATTTCGCCCATCCGCAATCTCATTCCGCTCTTCATACTCTCATTCCGCCCTTCCTACTGTCATCCCTCCCTTCTTAATCTCGTTCCGCCCTTGTTCCTCTCATTCCGCCCTTCTTCCTCTCATACCGCCCTTTTTCCTCTCATTCCGCCTTTCTTCCTCTCATTCCGCCTTTCTTCCTCTCATTCCGCACTTCTTCCTCTTATTCCGCCCTTCTTCCTCATTCCGCCCTTCGTCCTCTCTTTCCGTCCTTTTTCCTCTCCATCCGCCGTTCTTCCTCGCATTCCGCCCCTCGTTCTCTCATCGCGCCCTTCATCCTCTCATTCCGCCCTTCTGCCTCTCAATCCGCCCTTCTTCATCTCACACCGCCCTTCCTACCTGTTTTCGACGTTCCAAATCGCATTACGCAAACCCTAAACTCATTCCGCACATCCCTACTCTCATTCCGCCCGTAGTAGTCGCAATCTGCCCTTCCTAATCTCAATCCGCGTTTCCCACTCTAAATCCGCCCATCCCGTCTCTCATTCCCGATCAAGGAAGATGCTCTCATACTAATCGTAAACGGGGGAAATAATGCTTAGCTGGCTTTCTATTTCGGTGTTACTACGGCTCAGCGACGGGAGTATGGTTGCTTGGCGTGGGCACTCATTTTCTGACTTCACACTTCTGTCAACCTCAAAACGTGATTGCGTCGCCAGGGTGGGTCGCATAGTTCTCAATCAGACGCAAACCTGTCCCCCAAGGCTCGTCTTACACCCAAACCTGCCCACCCAGGTTTGTTTTGGCCTTGATTGTTGGGGAGTTCGCTGTGTTCTTTTCACCCGCTCGTAAAAACTTTCGTCATTCGTTACCCAATCACGGACGGGAAAACCCAACCAGGTGTTAAACCTTTGGAAATTTGAGACCCGAGCTTTAAAGGACATTGGCAAAGCTTGGTGTGCTGCCGAAGTAACGAAGTTCGTTCGGAATCATTGGTTGGGGTGACAGCACTCAGTGAGGTCTGGCCCGAACCGCTACACTTAGACAGCCTGTTCCGAAGTATGGTACAGTTCAAGAACACGCACTCGGTTTCAAACATCATTGCCCAACTTCTATCCTCTTCAAAGCATCGAATGCATTTTCTTTCTGCTTGGAAAGGGTCAGTGCAGGCTCACAACCATTCTTGCCACCATTCACTGACGAAATGGAGGACTCCTCAGGTTAGTCGTCAGGCCTTTCGGATATAATCGGTGTGTGTGCAACCTAATGGTCTTTTGTCCAAGCAGATAAAGTATCCATAGAACTTGAGCGTGGAACAATGGCGCTAGTGCCATGGATGGGAAACCTTTCACCTCCGGAATTCGAGGAAGTAAATCCAGACGGGTTATCGGAGGGAAGGTACGATGTCGAAAACGATGTCTTTCAATTCAACTTGCCGATAACCGCTGCATTGTGCTTTTCAGCGAATGCAGAGGAGAAAGACATCGTGCATTTCTGAAGCCTCTTAAGGCTTCGGAGGTGTATTCCAGTGGACTTACCCTCCAAAGGTGCAGCAATATCTCGCTGACTCAACCTGCGATGAGCATGGACAACGAACGTAAACGCAAGCAACCGAGCGGCCAGGAAAACTGTCAGCCTCTTACTCTGATACGTCGTGACCGTTCAAGTGACCCTTCTTGCGGAAAAAACGAACGACATATTAAGCTCTCATCAAACGAAACTGACAGCGGAAAGAAGCGCCAAATTCGCACAAAGCGAAGCAGGTGAGTGCTTCACGAATTGAATCAGAATAATACCTCCTAAACAAAATGACTTATTCTGCAGATGGAGTGGTGAGCTTACATCGGCCTCTGCTGGTAAGTGTACGCATTACATGGCTGACATGTGGATAGCATTTTCATATCGCACTATGAGCTGTGTCTACATGCCAGGATCCAGTCGCAGAGAGCGGGACATGGAGAGGCTTGAAGTAAGCAAAAGCTTGACTTAGGTTGACATTTACTTGAAATTTTGTGTACAGTATCGAAATAACCACCTTAATGCAGAGCGCACGAGCTGAAAACCCCAAGAAGGCTGAACGAATATTGGCAAATCGACAATCAGCGGAACGATCTCGCTTACGAAGGCTCAATGCCATCTCAACGTTATCAGAAGAGGTGACACCCCAATGGTTGTCCTGCAGCTATCCTTTCAATTGCAGCAACCCATTCATGTCTGGCCTGCACTACAACAGGTCTCTCAGCTCAAATCTGAGAAGGCACAAATGCAGACTGAGATGACACAGCTCAAGGTAAGCATTGGGTTGGTGTGTCATGCCACCTGTCCTGTTGCTGAATGTGCTGGTCGCTTGTGCAGGAGTCGTTAATGGCTGTTAGTACGAAGACACATGAACTTGCAGAAGCTTTGAATGCCAAGACAGCACTGGTTGACGTAAGGAGCCCTATTATATCAATCAAGGTGCGCCCATTGAAGTTTATATTGGGTTATCTGCTTATGCTCTGGCATTCATGTAGGCCCTCAAGGAAGCGCTAACAAGCTCCGGACAAGTTGATATCTTCACTCGCTGTTGTGAAGGGGGCCATCAGGTTGCTGGGCACGTGTGAAAGTTCCAGCGAACTGGACACGTACTTATTCATCAGGAATGTTAGCTCCATTGATGGTCTCCAAGCTTTCGGAACTTCCAACCATATCCAAAGCGATCTACCGGTATCATAGCACAGCTGCAAGTCATATCTATTGTCATTCCAGTAGCATCTGCAAATGCCTCCTTGTGTTTTATGGGCGCTGAAGGTTGATGGAGAAACTTCAGTGTATGCATGCAGTCGTTGTGTTTAGGATTGTAAATTTCCATTGTGCTGCTTGGGGTAGCCTTTTGGCGAGGAGAAACTGCTTACCGGTACTATGGAATTAAGAACCACAGAATGAATCAGGCTCGAGGTGTGCTGCTACGTTTTCCATGTAATGCACCAATGTGCATGCAGAGCATATGGTCCCTCCCATCCCCCCACCCTCCAAACCCAGTAAACCGTTCAAAAACCGGTCCCTTGAAATCAAACGCTCTAATTGGTGCATCCATGTTAATATCCGGCCGCAAATCATGCGACAACAGTCTTGGCAGCTGCAAACCTTCTTTAGAACACTGATCCACAGCCGAAGACGCATTCCCTGTAACATTTACAAAGACAAAATCACCCTCCATCCTTCTGTACCGCTCTGTTACCCCACCATCACTGTCAAGTCGGCCCCTCGGGTTCACACGTGCATCCGAGGCATGCTGCTTCCCAAACTCAGGTTCAGTCCTGTTCTTTCGAACGAGGTAGTGGGCGGGTGCCTCCGGCTTTTCTGAGTGCAGGCCGCAGCGGCCAAAGTGATGCGCAGAAGCAGCCGACCAGCGGAGTGCGGAGGAGTGACGCCAATAGTGGAAGATGGATTCGGAGAGCGATACGTCCCAATTGTAGTCGTCAAAGTAACAGAAATACTGCTCACCAAACACGGGGGATTGGGGGAGGGGGAGGGGGAGGGGGAGGGGGAGGGGGATGGGGGGATGGGGGGAGGGGTAGGATGGATACAGGAAGGGTAACAAGGGTGTGGGGTTTGGGCTGACTGGTGCCAGAAGTGGAAGATGGAATTGGAAAGCGAAACGTCCCAGATGTAGTCGCCAAAGTAGCAAAAGTACTGCTGACGAACAAAGAAGAAAGGGGGAGGATGTGTTAAGGAAGGACAGAGAGGGCTGAGAGTGGTGCCAGAACTGAAAGGTGGATTCAAAATGGGAGATGAGATGAGCCAGTTTTAGTCGTAAAAAAACCCCGGGAGAGAGGAGAGGATAGAAACAGGAAGGGTGATGGGAGAGGGCTGCAGAGATTTGCAACAGAAGTTAAACATGGATTCGGAGAGGGAGGCATCTCAATTGTGGTTGCTAAAAGTACCAGGAACACTGCTCACAAATCCGTGGGGGAAGGGAGGGGGGGTGGGGAAGGACGGATAAAGGAAGGGTGATGGGAGAGGGCGTGCAGATAAAGAGAGTGCGTTGGGAGTGGACAGAGTAAACACACCTGCCCCTTCAACTCACCTTGCGGGACCTCTGAATCTAATCCTACAAGCTCCAGTTGAACATGTCACGTTCCCCATGTGAGAACCTTGGGGAAGGACAGAGAGAAATATCGCACTTGCCCTTCGACTCACCTTGTGGGATCTCTATATCTTCTCCCACACGCTCCGGTTGAACGCATACCCCACGTTCCCTATCCTCTCACGCACAAACGCCCTCAGTCCGCTCTCCTGTTAAACGCATAACCGACGTCCCCCATCCGCTCGCGCACAAACGCCCTCAGCCCAGATTTTAGAACTGTGTGTGATGTCGTCTCACCTTGTGGGACTTCTGAATCTGCTCCCACACAGTCCGGTTGAACGCATACCCCACGTTCCCCATCCTCTCTCGCACAAACGCCCTCAGCCCGCTTTCCAAAGAATAAAGAGAGAGGAGAGTACAGAAACACTCATTGGTTTTGTCTCACCTTGTGGGACTTCTGAATCTGCTCCCACACGGTCCGGTTAAACGCATACCCCACGTTCCCCATCCTCTCGCGCACAAACGCCCTCAGCCCATTCTCCCCTCGGGATTTCACGTTCGAAGGCGCGAGCGTGACTGCCACACACTCGGGGCAC